GGTGCTCCAGGATGCCGGCTCCCCAGCACTGAGGCTGTGCTGTACCATGCTGCCACACCCCCTGGGGCAGAGACAAATAGCATGCAGCAGGAGCCAGGAAAGGGATGGGGAGCCCCAAGGCCCTGGATGCTGCTGCTGCAGCCGGAGCAACAGGAGCAGGGGCAGCCAGGTGGGAGCCCACAGACCACAAGCAACTTGAAACTGCCAGTTGGACGCTCCTGTTTTAATCCATACTTTAGTTTTTGCTCAGACTATGCCAGGCGGAGAAGACTGCTAGGCATGAATCAAGAACATCTGAGAACCTGCCAATATTGGCAGTTCCATTCGCTGGGTTCCATTTAAAGGTGGAAGTGACTGGTTTAAGCTCTCCTGGAATGAATCACAAGTAGTTAAAATACTAATAAAAAAATCGTGGGAACTGAAATTGAATCCTGTATATCGGCAAGCAGCAGTGACTAAATAAGTGTGTGCTCTCTGAATATAAACCCAGCCAGAACTTGAAATGGGATAGTTCAACTCTTTGGGCTTAAGATCTCCCAGATGAGCCAAATAGGAGCAATCCTACTGCTAAGCCAATAAGAGCTGGGCTAGGATTATCTCAGCTGGAAGTTTCTCTTTGCCTATCTTACAGCTCACGTCTTTAAAGAAGATTTAAATATTGCTAGGAAGATGCTAAATATGCATTACTTTTCTCTTGGGCTTGGTTTTAATGTTATATTCTTCTACTAAAACAGCTCCAGGCTAGTTCCCAAGATAAAATAAAGAACTGCCTTGAAATGAGAGTGGTTAATGTTTTACGTGCAATGGAATTACTCACGTTCTAGCCCACATGTCCAGTTCTTCATCCAGGTAAGTTTTAACTTTTTTTGGCTGGAGCCCAAGAGAATTCCCACAAAAGTATATGCAGTCTTCATTTTCATTTACTAAACTTGGGTCAGCTGGGGAGGAAAAAAAAAAGGAGTTCACTTTTAGTTATATCATTGCTCATGAAGCTGTATCATCTCCTTCTACCCAGACAGGGTAAAACCAAGTGCCATGGATTCCCCTTCCGCTTTGCAACCAAAACAGAGACAAAACTGGGTGAGTAATAGCTGGAGAGCTTGCCTCCCCAAAGAGGCCACCTTGCTGAAGCTTTGAGGAATCAGGACACTAGAAAGCAGCATACCTACAGGCTGGGGAGCCCCCTTCTCATCAGCACAGAGGCAGAAAAGGATCTTGGGGTCATTATTGATTCCAAAATGAACATGGGCTGCCAATGTGAGGATGCGGTCAGGAAGGCTAACTGCACCTTGTCATGCATCCACAGATGCATCATGAGCAGATCCAAGGAGGTGATCCTCCCCCTCTATATGACATTGGTCAGGCTGCAGTTGGAGTACTGCGTCCAGTTCTGGGCGCTGCACTTCAGGAGGGATGTGGCCAGCATCAAGAGGGTCCAGAGGAGGGCCACTCGCATGATCAGGGGGCAACAGGGCAGGCCTTACGAGGGGAAGCTACAGGACCTGAACCTGTTCAGCCTCCACAAGAGAAGGCTGAGAGGGCTCTGGTGACTGTCTATAAACTGGTCAAGAGGGACCAGCAGGCAATGGGAGAGTCCCTGTTTCCCCGAGCCCTACCAGGAGTAACAAGGAATAATGGTCAGAAGTTGACTGAGAGTAGATTCAGGCTAGATATCAGGAGGCACTACTTTACAGTCAGGGCGGCTAGGATCTGGAACCAACTTCCAAGGGAAGTGGTGCTGGCTTATACCCTGGGGGTCTTCACAACGAGGCTGGATAGACACCCAGCTGGGGTCGTTTGACCCCAGCATTCTTTCCTGCCCATGGCAGGGAGTCAGACTTGATGATCTGCTCAGGTCCCTTCCTACCCTACCAACTACAAAAATATGAAAAATTTGTGGATAAGTGGAGGCAATGATCATTTCCAGTCTGTACCCAAGCCTGTATATATACATCTGGAGTTCTTTTTCCTTTAAACAACATTAAATCCTAACATCTGTTCTGCAGCCATAGGCATTGGTTTTGCTGAGCACACTGCAAACACTAAGGCCAGAGAACGTGTTTCCTTTTCACTCTGCTCCCACCCTCAAACAGTTAACACACACCTGCTCTTCATGCTATGGAACCATAAGGTGTACTTGATCCAGAAACACATTTTAAAAAAGGAAGATTAGAGAAGCCTATATCATTTACATAAATTCTCTTAACAAGATCAAACAACTATTTAGAAACTTAGCCAATCAATACAACATTTTAAAAAGAGACTTTAAACTTCTTCTATTGTCAGCACATATCGTGGGCTGGGCCTAATGTCATCGTTCGTGAGGAGGAAGAGATCTATGTTGCCAAATTCTTTCAGTGTTTAGGAGAAAAGCAAGTTGCAGGAAATTTATAAATAACAGCTCAAGTGAATTTCTGAACAACCTAATTACCCTGTTTCATCATCTATCAATCTACATGTTGCACTGTACTGTACTCCTCATGACAGCCTCTAAGTGACAAGTGATGGTGACCAAACATTTTGCATTCATGTGACACAGATACACATACATCTCCACTATTTTCTCCTCATTTTTTGCTTCACAGGTGCTAGTGGAAAGCTCAAATAAATGTGTTAAAAATCCAGCCTTGAAATAAACAGAAATTTTACTTTATTTTGCAGTAATTTCAGTTTGGGCTTGTAGAAAAATAGATTAAATGACTGAAAAAAACATTTCGTGCTAGGTTTAGCAATACTTATTGAACTCAACCAGAAGTTCATTTGTCAGAAATAAAGACAGCTTGGCTAATTTCTTAATTAAAGCTTAAAAAGCTTTTAAAAACCGTAAATCAGAGAGCAATTTCAATCTAATCTATTTTAGGGACGCTTTGCTGTTTCTTTTCTGTATTCTTTTTAACATGAACAAAAAACAGGAAGGTGTAAATATTATTCATGCTTCTAAATTGGTTCTATTAACAGATCTTTTATTATCCAGGAAGACAATAATAGAGTCTCATTGAGGAATGAAAAAAGGCCTTTTATTCAGAATTCAGAGTGGTAAATCTCACTAGTACTCTTTAAATTCCAATCAAGCATTAAAACAGGTAATGAATTAAAAGCTAAATTGCTCCTCTGCACTGCAGTCCTCTCTCCAGACATAAATGGCCATTGGCTATTGATGCAGAAAGCTGGCCCTGCCACCTTCCTGCAGTACATTGTTCTACCCGTGCATCTGTTACCTTGTGACTATTGTGCTGGCATGTTTTAAGTCCCACTTTGGGCCTGCTCTGTTTATTATTTGTCCCTAATATTTTTAATGCCACCCTGTACTGTTGCTGCTGCCCACACTATGCTTGTTTTTCACTCATTTTGCACCTTTTCTGACCAGCATATTGTCAAGTCATAATGTTGTTACACTTGCTGCTTTTCCCCTTTCATTCACAGATCTCTTTCTTCTTAATTATCTTATGCTACCACTTAATTCTCCAGATACAACTCTTCTGCAGCCTCATTTCCCCACACTGTTGGCCCCTCTTCTATTATTCCTTGGTTTACAGAGGTAGACAGTATCCTGTATTGAAGTGTTTGAAACTATTAAGAAATAAACAAGGTTGAGAGAATTGTGATAAGCATTGGCGCACAACAGTGACAAAGAGACAGCAGTAATTAAACCATGTGCCCTTACAAATGCTGCATATAAAACATCATGCATAGGATAAGAGAGATGATTTCTATGAAAGATTAATTTGATATGATATAGTAAGTGGTCTCCACACCTACTTGAATGCTACCAATAGGTCACATTTAACAACATATATCCTTTTGCACACCTAAGCCTATCATTTGCTTTACATATAATTTAGAGGTATATTTCTAATGAATTAAAACACCTTTAATCTGAGAACAAGAACAAGTGATCTTTCAATAATAAGTCAGTTTATATGAAGGAGAAAGATCTAATTTTATGATTAGCTAAAGAGGATGTACTGGTTACTCTGTGTTATATAGTTATGTTCCTTCTTATAGGATGAAGGATAAAACAATCACAGAAAAAATTAGGAAGGTTATCACTCCCTTACCATGATTTCGTTTAAGAAAATATAGTTCAGCAGTTTCAGCCTGGGGCACCTTACTGTTACAAAGACATATAACTAATAATGTTTTTATTTCCTTGCAGAATGACAAAGTAATAAGCATTATTCAAATAGCAGATTTAGAGTTCATCTCTCATATGGTATCCAGGCATCCCTCCGAAAGAAAAGTGTACTGGAGACTTTTTAATAGCAACTCAAAGCAATGCTTGGAAATCTAAACAGTCACCTAACTTTTCCACTGTCATCTTTCTCTCTTAGGTCTACTGAGTCTCATCCCCCTTCCTTGTCACATGTCCAGAGTGATGTGCCAAGGAATTAGTCTGCAAGCAGGTTTTCATTTGATTTATATAGTGACTAAATAATGTCAGCAGCTCTTATAATTTGCATTTAGATAAAGTTAAAACTATCATTATGATAGTCAACGTTTTATAGTACATAATATTATACCTATCTCCCTCTGGCAAAGCTATGTTAAAACCTCCTTGTAGTGTTTTATGTAAATATGTATGATATACTTGATGTCTAATCTCTGTTATGGCATTTGTCTTAAAGAGCAAGTTATCTAGGATCCACTCACATATAAAGATAAACGTCACGAGAGATCAGTCATTATGGTATATACACACAATATAAGTATTTTTCACCCCCGCTGCTCTTCAAAAGTGAAGCTGTTTTTGATGACAGCTTTTTATATTTTTCCCCTTAAGAAAGAGAAAGTCAGGAAAGGTGAGAACAATGGGTTCTGAACACTGTTAAGACTTTCACTACTTTGTAGGTCATTGTCCCTGCAATAAAAAGAGACAGTGTCCTCTGAGGCTTAGATAGCATGGTGACTGTAGATCAAAAGTGTATGGAGAGAAAGATAAACAGTAATATTACAAATGTAATATTCTATTTACATTGCTGTATACACACGTGTGTGCAGAGAGAGACTCTCTTGAATTTCAAGTTACTGAGAGAGTAAGCTTAGGTGTGCTTTAGAGGTTTTTGAGACAGATGGTTACAGCCACGCAGTCATCAACAATTTTTTACTTCAGTTCATAGGTGATGCACTATGAATCACCTATGAACTGAAGTAAAAATTTTATAGAGGGGATTTTATAGAGGCACAGAGGGGTACATGCCCCCCGAGATTAGCCCTCACCAGCCAGGGAATGGGGAGTGACAGCTGGTGCTCCCTGAGAAGTGCCGGCTGATGCCTGAACAGTCAGGAGGCACCAGTCACCCATGTTTCAGTTCATATAGATATACCTGTGCTAGCTTTGAAATCCCTAGCTCAGGTCCAGATAGCAGTGGAATTGCCATAGCATATAACACAATGCATGCTAAATGCCCAGGCATTTACCCAGCTTTTGAGGCACATTTCACTGAGCTCTATGCTCCCGAAATTACACTGCTATGGGTACCTGAGCCTTTTCAAAGCTAGCTGAAGTTCGTCTTTGTGAACTACAGTCACCCTTACTGCAGTGTACACAAACGTAAAGAGAAACAGAAACCGTTTGATGTCCATACTCTGATCTGTCTTGCTTCAAGAAGCCAGACTGTACAGCAAAATATACTTCCTAAAAACTTATACAAGAAACATAATATCCCCAGGGAGCCTTACTATTGGCAACCCTTTGGTTAAAACACAACCCCAACTATGTACCATACTTCATAGTGTATAAGTCAAACTTTGAAGCCAACATATTTACTTTAAATTTCCACCTTGACTTGTACACCGTATCAATACTTTTGAACCACACCCCAGTGCTGCCCCAGAGCTGGTCCCAGCCCTGGTCCTGGCCAAATCCCTGCCCAGCCCCAAACCAACTTGACCTTCTTCATCTACCATGAGATGGCGTCCCTGTTGCTGGAAGCCATGGCACTTGGGCCTGGTCCCAATGTGGCCTGCAGACCTTGCCAGCACCATAGAGATGCCACTCAGCCAGGTGCCAAGCCTGGCTCCATCCCCCGTGAGTGATGCTGCCTGAGTCATTCCAACTGAGTGCCGAGCCCAACCCCATCCCCTGCAAGCAGTGCTGCGGTATGTGTCCTCCCCACCGGGTGCCTGGCCTGCAGTAAGGGCGCACAGGGACCATTATAAGTTGACCCCATTTTTCTGATCCACAGAGTTAGGTTGACTTATACACTTGATCTATGAAAATCCTAACTTTTTGGATCAGAAAAAATGGGGTCAACTTATATACCATGTCAACTTGTATATTGTGAACTATGGTAATTATACAGGAGCTACAACATTCCAGTTATACTTGCTTCATGGAGGAAACAAAGTAATCAACTAAAAACTGAAGCAGAGAAGAAAGCAAGTAAATGACTGAATCCCCTCAAATTGACAAAAATTCTCTCTACACAAACTCCATTTTACAGTAGATAGGCCAAAACTACTACTCTATGGAGCCAGGTTTTTAGACTAAGATATACGCTTAGTTTTGCTCAAAACCAAGTGAATGGCAAAACTCTCACTGACACGAATAAAGGAGGGATCAGCAACAATGTAAGGACAGATAACTACCGCTGACTATGACTTGATGCTCTAGGGCCTATCAGAGGCAAATACAGGAAACCCGTGCTATTCATGAACTTCGGGTTCGCAGCTTCAAATATTCATGGGGGAGGGCAGAGATGGGAGGTGGGTGGAGAGTGAGCACCGGGGACATGGAGGGAGGTGCCAGCGGCATCTTATCCCTTAGAGGTAGCTGCGGCGGCACTTGGGAAGAAGGGGTCAATCCTCAGTCATTGCTGGGGAGCCCAAGGGATGGGGAGGGAGGCAGTGGCAGCAGCATCTTCTCCACTGTGGCTGCTGGAGGCAGCTGCAGTAGCACTCAGTGCACTCACGGTGGTGCTTGGGCGGAAGGGATTGGTCCCCAGGCACTGCAGGGGAGCTGTGGGGCCTGACGGGGAGCCCTGTCAGTCTCATGGGGAGCCTCATCAGTATTCGCAGATATCACTATTCACAGGGATCTCTGGAACGTATCCCCCGTGACTGGCGAGAGTCTCTTGTATTGCCCTTCAGGTATCGCTTTAAATATAAATCTTTCCTATGTTTGCTTTTTGTAAAAATCTCTCATCATGGGTACTGATGAGATTTACTGAAACAGGAAATATAATTAAATATTGATAAAAGTGACTTTTATATTTATAATTGGAAGTTTTTCATAAGAAAACCTCATTCTAAGCATTATATTTATCCAGTCAGGGAAAAACAAATATTTTGTAACTTTATGCATTCAAAGCTATAAATTCCTACTATTCAATAGTTACTCATAAACAGAGGTCAAGAATTAATAACAGGAATTTAGTGAAACATTTAAATAGCTATATTTGATAAAATGTGTCTATCTGCAGATTTATTTCAGGAACAAAAACCTAGGAAAACATCTGGCTCTACTTCATGGAGGGTGGGGTCACACTAATCATATGCAACAGGCTGAGCGAGGGGCCAACAAAGGGATGGATTCTGGGTGAAATGTTTGGGGCCCTGGTTGGTGATCTTTGCCAGACATTTAAGGTTGATGAAGAAACAGGAATCATGGGAAATGGGAAAGAAAGGCATAGCTCAGTTATGGGAGTGAAAAGGAAGCCAAAATGTATTCAGTGTAGCAGATCACCATGACTTGTAAAAGAACTGGCACTGAGGGGGACTAAGCACAATGGTCACTACCATATATTTTATTCAGCTTGGTTGCACTATCCTTTGGGACACGACCACAATGGTGGCAGGGGAAATAACATGACCACCAAGGTGGTCTTGCTACTGGCTGGGGAAAACCATAGACTAAACCATGGACATGGCAGGGTACCCTGACTGAGGTAATGCATAGTTAGTCTCCCACTTTCACTTCCAGTTGGAAGATCTTGGCTATTTGCCACCTTTATGGAAATGGGGGACTCTTCCATAGCTTGCTCCTGCGGCCATATGGGTGAAACTTGGGGGCATCCGAACCCCAGGTCTCTGGGCTTTGGCCTGCGCATAGGATACCCACCAAAGGATTTGGAAGCATCTGAAGCCCCAGGTGGGGTGGAGGATGCTTGCCGGTAGCAGGGCTACATATGGTTCTTGAATGACTCACAGATTTGGAATTGATTTGGCTGATTTGACTTGGGACACAAAAATGTTCCTTAAAAAACAAAACAAAACAAAGCAAAACACAAACAAAAAACCCCTAATGCATTGCAGCACTCATGAGCCACCTGCTACCTAGAGGAATGTAGAAAAAACATTTACAGCTGTGTCTATGTCCGAATCGCTGAATCTCTCCAAATCGATTTGGAGGGTTCTGATTCGATTCAGAGAGATTAAAGGTCCTCTGATTCAATTCGGATTCGGAGATTCAACCACCAAATTGGGCTGAATCTCCACAGAATCAAATCAGGGACTGAAGCTTCCCACAGCCGTAATAGTTGGTTT